AGTAACACCGGTGCTAGGTGTGGCTTGTCAGGAATTCCCTAGAGAGCAGCTGGGGGGAGCCCAGCCGAGGAGCGGAGGCAGAGGGATGCGGGCAGAGGGCAATGGACCAATCTGATCTCCCTTGTCACTGCCAGTCTGGGTAATAAAGCCAACGCTCTGGATTTCCCCTGGGCCTTCCCCAAGCCAGTCTCAACACTGTACAGCCAGGGGGTTGCGCCTCCCAGCTCTCCCATTGGGAGGTTGGTATGCCCCTTGTTTTGCAGATGGGGGAAACTGAGGCACGGAGTACACGACTTGCCCAAGCACGTCCAGTAAGTTGGCAGCAGCCCTGGCAAGAGAGCCCAGCGTCTCTGAGCATCGGCTACGCGCCCACAGCCAGCCGAGGGTTGCAACTGGCTCCTGGTGGCACCAGGCTGCTTTCAGCCTTACCCTCTAGTAGCACGTTTCCCGGCATTGCTCGGGTCCTGAACTCAATTCCGTCAGTGCACGTTCCCCGCGCTTCCTGACAGTGAGGACAGGGACAGCTGGCAACGTTCCCATACAAATCGGGGGGTAGAGGAGAGCTTCAACCCTCCCCATCCTCCTGAAATGGTGCCTGGAGGGTGGGAGCTCAGGGCTGGGGCTGTCCCAGATGGGGGAGGGCACCGTCCCCCCCAGCCAGCCCCTTTCCCCTGCCTGGTGACTCTGTGTCTCTTCTGCATGGCTTGATGAGATGCCTCAGTCCCATTCCAGGCACAGCCCGTTGTGCGGGCGCAACCCAGCCCTGGCCTCGCCGGACGTTCTGGGACGAGGAAGCGGCGTGTCGAATTGGGTGGGCCTGGCTCTTCCCGTGGAGGAGGAGTTTTTGAACGGACGGACAGACGGACTCCAATGGCTGCTGGGGGAGGGGTCGGGGCGGGGGGATCTGAGTCTCGAGCCTCCTTATGGGAATTTCTCCTTGCTCCCTCGTCCCTGCTCTGTGGGATCCCTCTGGACCCCCCCTTGTGGGGTTGGCAGCCTTCTCCACGCAGAGCTTGTGCCTCCTAAGCAGGGCTGATCTGTTTGCAGGGCTTTGGCGCGTTACAATGGCCATGATTAATTACTTGGAAAATCCCTGCAAACGCTCCCGGTGCCCCCCCGCCCGGCGGTCAGGGGAATGTCAAATGGCACAAGTGTCCCCTGAGGACTCACCCAGCCCAGCACTGGGGGGGATTCACTCGGCCGCCTTCTGCCCGGTCAGCCTGAGTCGCTGCCTCCCCGCTCCCAGCAGAGCCCTGCTTTCCCAGCGTGTTAACGAGCTGCCAATTAATATTCAAACGAGGGGGTGGAAACAGCCGGGGGTTGCTGCAGCTGGTTTCCCCAGGGGCTGGGTTACACCAGGGCATGGCCTCTAGTGGCCATCCTTCCCCGACCTCTTCTGCTCCCGTCTCCTTCTAGCCACCGCGGGGGGCCCGGAGCCGTCGTGCCTACCAGGCCGCTTGGGCAGCAGGCTTGGAATTGTGACGAACTCCCGGGGCGGGGACTGTGGCGCGAGGGGCTAAAACCGGCGCCGAGCGAGGCAGCCCCCGCGGTCACATCCTGGGGAGGGTGGCTAAAGGCTTGGGGGGGCGCGAGGCCGGGGGAGCGGGGGGCAGGGGTTGTACCTGATCCCCCTGCCCACACCCAGAAATCCGGGGCTGGGAAGCAACTGGAGAGCGGCCGCTGTCTAGACCGCGTGGCGCGATTGCGCAGATGGTTGCGGTAAACGCCCGCCCCGGGGGGCTGCCCAGCCAGGCTGCGTCACCTGCCAGCTGCAGCTGCCCCCGGGCCGGTTCCAGGGAGCCCGGCAGAGTGCAGGGGACCTCCCGGCCCCAGGCAGGGTGCTGTGGGGCGGACGGGGAGTGGCCGGTGCCACTGCAGGGTGCAGACCTGCCTGCGCACGGCGGGAATGGCTTGTGTGTTGGCGCTCGGGGCTGCAGCTCCACCGGAGAGAGCGGGACGCGCTGCGCTCCAGCCAAGCCCGCCCTGCGTCTAGTCTGTCCGCCTTCGCTTGCAGGGAAAAGGGGGACCCGGGGCTGAGGACCGCCTTGGTTCTCTAGCGGGGAGGGGGCCGAGGTGCGGGCTTCCATGACAGCTCCATGCTCTGCACACGGGGGCTCATTGGCATGGTCTCTTGTGGCGATGGGACAGGGGCGTCCTACGGCGAGTGGCACCCTCGCCGGGACTCGGGGGGAGACCCCGTCCCCAGGAAGCCCAGGAGGAGGAGGAGGCGTTAACCCCAGGAGGTTATTCAGAGCTCCAGACCGGAACCGGAAGGGCAGAGATTGGGGCGCTCTCCCCTGGCGGCTGCGTTGCTCCGAGGGCAGCCATCCGCAGGGCATGTGGCAGGGATGGGGAGTCGAGGGAGCTGCGGGGGGCGGCTGCTGGGCGAGGAGCCATGGGCTAGGTCTGCTCTGGGAGCAGCGACGGCTCCAGGGGCCTAGTGGCTGCCGGCCTTTGGGGTGTGAAGGCAGGAGATGCCCGCGGTGCTCTGGGCTGCGAGGTTTGGAAAGGAGAATTCCCCTCCCTCTCCCCAGCGCATCAGCACTTCTCCAACCTGCCCCGGCCTCCTGGCGCGTAGGCCGTCCCAGCGAGGCGTGTGCCGCAGCCCCTTGGAGCGCAGCCGCGTTGGGAGTGGCGTAACATTGGAGCCCCCGGCCCCGGGAATAGCCGGTGTGAAAAGCGGCCACGCCCGCTGCCTCGCCGCCTTCCTAAGGCGCCTCCAGGTGCCTGGTACAAAATGGAGGCTGGGTCGTGGCTCCCCCACCCTCTGCCTCTCTCTGATAGATGCAGGAAGTGGGGGGGGAGGGGAAGCAACTAGTCGAGTTACTAGTCAACTATCCGATAAGCATTTGCTTATCAGATCGTCGACTAGTCGCTTAGATCCCTAGAAGTCCCTGTAGCGCAGTGTTTCTTAAACTGTGTTCCACGCACACCGTGTGCCACGAGGCAGTCGGAGGTGTGCCACGGAGAACAGAATTCAAAATGGCCACCCTTAAAGGGGCAGGTGACTTTTTTTCTCAGTCTTTCCCCCAACCCTTTTTTTCCTCAATAACTTTCCCCCAACTTTTTTTTTTTTAATCTCAGCCAAAAATCCTCGGTGTTCCTCATAAAAAAACATTGTTCCTCAGTCTTAACAAGTTTAAGAAACACTGCTGTAGTGGCTACTGCTGTAGCGAACTAGCCACGCTCCACCGGCCAAATAGCCACACGTGGCTCGTGGCTAGTGTGTTGGATGCCACGGCTCTAGACATTTCGCGCTCGGTATTGAGTGCTCGTAGCTGGGGAAGGAGCGGGGCCGCTCACCCGTGCAGGGTGGCTGGAGCTGGAGAGGGACTGACCAGATCTCGTCTCTTTGGCCCCTGGGGCCCAGGTGAAGGCAGTGGAGTGACCATGGGGAAGCAGAACAGCAAGCTGCGTCCGGAGATGCTCCAGGATCTGCGGGAGAACACGGAGTTCTCGGACCTGGAGCTGCAGGAGTGGTACAAAGGCTTCCTCAAGGACTGTCCCACCGGCATCCTCAACGTGGAGGAGTTCAAGAAGATCTACGCCAACTTCTTCCCTTACGGCGACGCCTCCAAGTTCGCCGAGCACGTCTTCCGCACCTTCGACACCAACGGGGACGGCACCATCGACTTCCGAGAGTTCATCATCGCCCTGAGCGTCACCTCCCGCGGCAAGCTGGAGCAGAAGCTCATGTGGGCCTTCAGCATGTACGACCTGGACGGCAACGGCTACATCAGCCGGGAGGAGATGCTGGAGATCGTGCAGGTAACGCGGCTTCCCGCGCCCCTGGGCCACCTGCCTTCCTTGGGCCTGGGCCTGAGCTTGGAGTATTGCCCTGCCTGGGGGGGAGAGGGGGCTCGTCCAAAGTCCACTGCAGTCCAGGGAAAGACCCAGCTGGCTTTGGAGCAGGGACTCAGCTGGGCAATGCCCCATAGGGAATAATTCTGCATTCTGCCCAGGAAGCCAGGACTCGCCTGGATGGGACCCTGCCCCCGATTAATGTGTGAACCCCCTTGCTCTGAAGGCGAGTCTGGCTCCTCCTCCCGGCCCCGGTGCCAGCGATCGGCCAGGCCTCCTTCATTGGTCCGCCGGCTTCCTCCTCCCTGTGTCCCAGCCTCCCTCTGCCTCTCCGCTGAGCAGCGATGCCTAGTGGAGAGCAGGCGGAGGGGAGGGATGTGAACGGATGGTCATGTGCACGGTTAACCAATAAGCCTCAGCACATTGGCTAACTCACATGGTTACACACCATCCCCTCTCCCCCCCGCCCTTCCGCTGTCTCTGTATCAGAGGCAGAGCTGGGAGCCGGTGCACCTGGGGAGCTGGCTTTTAAGCCGGCTCCCTGAATGTGCTGGCTCCCACGGAGCTGCCTGCCCCTGCCCCGCTGCCTCTCCCACCTGCATGTGACCATGTAGCCGCTGAAAAGGTCGGTGGTTGAACGTTTACAAAAACAAACGTTTAACATCCCTCGCGGAGGGTTGGACTGAACGGGCATCGAGGCTGGGCCGGGGAGGCGAGAAGAGGGCAGCGATTGACCATCACGGGTCTCTCCCCTGGCTGTGTGGGCAGCCGGAGGCGGGAAGGGCGCAGAGTCTGTGCCATGCTGCCCAGACCCCAAATCTATGGCCCTCTGCAGCCAGGCTGCTGGTCAGCGGTGTCCGCTTTCCGCTGTCCCAGAAGCAGAGGGGTTGCTCTCAATGAGACGAGCCTCCCAACTGGTCTCTGCTGCTTCGGCTGCCAGGGCTGATTTAAAACGGCGTTGGGGTTGGGCTTGCAGTGAAAGCTCCCATCTGGCAGGGAGCTGTGGCTTTGAATCCCAGGTCGCAGCTAACAGCTGACTGGTTTCCCCACCGGGATGCAGGAAGGATCAAGCTGGTCCAGGCAGAGTTTTAATGCACTGGCTGCTGTGAGCCAGGTGGGAGCAGGGCAGGAGGCAGGAGCCCAGCACCCACATGGCTTGGAGGGAAGCATCTGCAAGGCAGAGCCCATTGCACGTCCTCTGCAAACCAAATCCGTGAAGGGCCCACGGCAAGGAGTCACTGGAAAGGGGGGGGAGGAGCGTGCTTTGGCAGGAGGGAGCCCAGAGCCTGTCTGTAGGGGAGAGAGGAGACCCAGCATTGCTCGGAACAGGAGCCCTGACATTGAGGAGCTGGGGCGAGGGGGGGGGAGTCTATGCGAGCATAACACCCAGAGGCAGAACCGAACCTGGAACCTCTGGAGCTTCCTGCACCAGCCTCCACGGCTTGAGCCACAAGCCAGCTAGCGCTTGGTGCGGGCTGTAGAGCGAACTCATTCGCCCTGGCTGTAGGTGGTCTCCGTGCCCCACCCGCAGCGGCTGCGTGGACACTGAGATCTGGCACCGTCTGCTTCCCTTCCTGCCTAGGCCTGGCCCTACGGGGGGGGGGCTGCCCTTGCTCTCAGCTTGCTTTCTGGGGATGGGGAAACAACCTTGAACATGGGGCACTGCCCTTCGGGAACCAGCAGGAGTCCTACCTAGCTCCTCTCTGCCCCCTGCTGGGGATGGCCAATTGCTGCAGGGTGTTTGCACTGCACATCTGAGCAGCCAGGGCCGGGGCGGAACTGCAGCTGCTTTTCCAGGAAAGAGAGAGCAGCCTGCCCCCTGAGCTGCGGCAGCGGCGCATAACAACCTTGAACATGGGGCACTGCCCTTCGGGAACCAGCAGGAGTCCTACCTAGCTCCTCTCTGCCCCCTGCTGGGGATGGCCAATTGCTGCAGGGTGTTTGCACTGCACATCTGAGCAGCCAGGGCCGGGGCGGAACTGCAGCTGCTTTTCCAGGAAAGAGAGAGCAGCCTGCCCCCTGAGCTGCGGCAGCGGCGCATAGGCCCCATGTAGGGAGAGTTGCTTTGGTGGGGTGTCCTGATGGGCTGGGGTGCAAATGACCAATTCTGTCCCCCGAACAGCCACGCCAGGGCCAGCTGCAGATCCCGCCGTTGCCAGGGGTCCAAAGAACAAACAGGAGCCGGGACGGGGGGGAAAGGGCTGAGTTATTGCTGTCCAACGGAACAGAGGGCGCAGGGAGCACTCGTCAGCCCATCCCCTCCCTGGCCCCAGGTCTGGGTCCAGCTTTGGCATTAAAACCACAGCCCTTGCGCTCTGGGTCTTAGTTACAGATGCCTCCCTGCCGCCGCCGGGCCCCTCCTGGTGCAGCGGCCCAGTAGCTATTACACTGATCTCGTTTAATCAAGTCTGTTCCCTTGTATTTCCCTGCTGATGTGCCGGGAGTTGATTCCACTAACAGGCTTATTCCACTGGGTTTGATTTTTTTTTTTTTAAGACGACGCTCGTCCTCTAACGTAAAACCAGACCCCGTTTGCAAAGCCGAGCGAGGCCTCGTGGACGTAGCTCGGGGCCAGCCTGGGTCTCCCCGCTCCTGTGCCCCAGCGCCCTCCCCTAGGCACGGCCGTTGCAGGCTGGAGTCATCAGGAGTCAAGACTCCCCGTCTGTCCTCTTCTCCCTCCCCTAGGCCATCTACAAAATGGTTTCCTCGGTGATGAAGATGCCTGAGGATGAATCGACTCCTGAGAAGAGAACGGAAAAAATCTTCCGCCAGATGGATACTAATAATGACGGTAAATGAGAGGCGCCGGAGGGAGATTAAGAAAAGGTCTCATTGCTAAATCCGGGGGGTTTAGGCTCAGGGACACGCAAACTGATTAAAGGCATCGTTTTTGTTTGGCGTGCGTGTGGGGGGGACCACTGTGGGAGGGGCTAGGAGAGACTGACAGGACTGCCCTCCAGTGGCCGGGCCAGGGTATGGCAACGGCTTCTCTAGGCCTGGTGCTCCAGGTCCTTGGAGGGGCTGGGTTGATTTTGTTTAAAGCAAAACCAGGAGTGTCCTCTGTTTATGTGCCCTCGCACACAGAGTTCCTGGGCCCTGTAGGTAAGGGGGGAAGCTGTTTGGCTCTGCCACAGATTCCATCGCCCAGGGAAAGTCCCTTCATCTCGCTGTGCCTCAGTTTCCCAACGGGGATAAGAGTCGTGCCCTGCCTCACAGGGGAGCCAGAACAGATACCACAAGGAGAAACTCAGCGGTCCCTGCTCCTGGCCAGTGGGCTGTCTGTCCAACTTTCCACTGCCGGGCCAGATTGGGGGTGGGGCGAGAGACCCGGGCCGGGGAAGACATCTGGCCTCCACTACTGGCCTCTTGATTAGCCAGTCTACTAACCTCTGCCCCAGGCAAGGTGCTGTGGTAGGAAGAGCAGCTCCACTGCGCTGGGCCCATAGTTCGCATATTCTGCCGACAGGGGAATTATTTCATGCTCCGGCCGTCTCCCCTCCCCCAGTGCTAGGGAGCTCCCCATAAGAACGGCCAGACAGAGTCAGACCAAAGGTCCATCTCGCCCAGTGTCCTGTCTGCTGTCAGTGGCCAGTGCCAGATGCCCCAGAGGGAATAAGCACAACAGGGAATCTTCAAGCAATCCCTCTCCTGTCACCCATTGCCAGCTTCTGACAAGCAGGCTGGAGCCACAATCCCTGCCCATCCTGGCTCATAGCCATTGGTGGGCCCATCCTCCAGGAATTTATTTAGCTCTTTTTTGAACCTTGTTAGTCTTGGCCTTCAACATCCTCTGGCAAGGAGTTCCGCAGGTTGACTGTGCGTTTTGGGAAGAAATACTTCCTTTTCTTTTAAACCTGCTACCTATTAATTGCATTTGGTGACCCCTAGTTCTTGCGTTGTGGGAGGGAGTAAATAACGCTTCTTTATTCATTTTTTCCAAACCAGGCATGATTTTGTAGATCTCTATCATATTCCCCTTTAGTTGTCTCTTTTCCGAGCTGAAAAGTCCCGGTCTTATTAATCTCTCCTCATCCGGCAGCCATTCCAAACCCCTCATCATTTTTGTTGCCCTTTTTGGAACTTTTCCATTGCCCCTGTGTCGTTTTCGAGCTGAGGCAGCCACATCTGCACACAGTATACAAGATGGGGGCGCACCATGGATTTATACAGAGGCACTAAGATATTCCCTGTCTTGTTCTCTCTCCCTTTCTGCATCTAACATTGTTTGCTTTTTTGACTGCTGCTGCACAGCGAGTGGATGTTTTCAGAGAACTCGCCGCCATGACTCCAGGATCTCTCTCGAGTGATACCAGCTAATTTAGGCCCCATCCTTTTGTACATAGCGTTGGGCTTGTTTTCCTATATGCACTACTTTGCATTTTTCATCATTAAAATTCATCTGCCGGTTCCCCCTAGTTACAGAGCTGCGGCAGCGAGAGGGAAATGATTCCAAGTCATGCGTTTTGGTCCCGTTTTGCAACCCCCACGCCTGCTAGGCTGTGAGGGAGATTGGTCCTGACCTGGACAGAGTCACGTTGCTGCTCTCCGTAGCTCGAGTTCAGCCGCAGGCAGCGTCCCCCCGCACCCTGTGTTTACACGCCCGGTCTCGTTCTCTCCTTTCCCCAGGCAAACTGTCCCTGGAGGAGTTTATCAAGGGTGCCAAGAGCGACCCGTCCATCGTGCGGCTGCTGCAGTGCGACCCCAGCAGCGCCTCGCAGTTCTGAGCCCTGCCGGGTGGAGTGGGGGATGGGACCCCCCTCGCCAGAGAGCACTGCCAAGACACCTGACTTCACGACATCACCGTCTCCACCATGGAGGCCAGCTTCCCCATCTCCTCTGGGTGGACGGACGTGCTCCCATGAATCCACAGCACTGCCACTGTGTTCTCCACTCAGCCACGCTGCTTCCCTCACGCTGAGCCCGCGGCCACGTCGCTGGCACCAGGCCGTTGGTTCTAGAGCTGGTGGGGAGGCAGACAGGACAGGAACCACTGGCTAGTGCGCAGGGCCTGGTGCAGCAGCATCCTCAGGGAAACCTTGGGAGGTTGGGCAGGCCTGGGCGCAGGGTCTCTGCCTTGGAAGGCTAGACAGTGCAGTGGAGACCTTGCATTGCTCCCTCCCCTGGCTGGGTTGCTGCAGGCGGAGTGACAGCAGGGAGTGAGAAATAGCTGCTCCTCCTTTCTGGCCACCAGCTCTGCCCCGCTGCAGGGGGAAGCAGTCGCTGCTAATCTCAGCCCCCGACTCCTCGGCTGCCCTCGCAGCCTCTGGTACCCTGAAGAGGGGCTAAGCTCTCGGCCTGTCCCCCCCCAGGAGGAATCAGTGTTCCCTGTACGCTGGTTACTTGTGCGGCCGCTCAGGAGAAAGTGAGATGCTGCCCAGCTGATTGAGAGCACCCACCACTAGGTTTTGTGTCTGTATGGGCGGTGCACCAGGCATGTCTTGGTGCACATTAAAAAAAACTATTCTGCACATGGCTGGGAAAGATTAGGAACGTTGGCAGGAACACAGGCAGGTGCTCTTATCCCTTTCGCTGCCCCCCAGACCCGAGCCCTACAAAGTGGGAAGGCAGCAGAGCTGTAGTGACGCTTTCCTGACTGTGGCTGCCGGCATTCCAGGCTACCTCTTCCTGTTTTCCCGGAGGACTGACGGCTGCCTTGGGGCACTAGCAGGGGCCAAGAGGGGATCCACCCTGAGCTAGAAGGAACAGGCTGGTGTCTCCGCGGTGGGTGGTGTTCAGGGATCCCAGCTAGGGCTGTAGTGGGCGGTGGGCAGCTCCTACAGGGAGCAAGAGAGCTGGGTATGTGCCCCGTGCAGCTCAGGAGAGGCCACGCCGGAATTCAGCCCCGTTCTGGCTTCGGCCAGGATTGGCCATCGCGTCAGTTCCAAACCCGGCGACCACCAGAGCGAGCCAACCCCCTGGCTTCTGCCGGCTGCTGCTGGCCCAGGGCAGGGCCTGGAGCCCTTTAAGCTGCTGTTGCGGGCTGGCAGGCCAGAGAGGGCACAGCCAGCTGAGAGCCCAGCCCTGGGCTTTGGAGACACTGGAGTGGGCAAGATCATTCAGCAATGGGAGGGGTTCTAGCCACACCCCCACAGCTGCTCATTGGGCCACACCAGGCCCAGTGGGAGGGGCAATGAGCCAGCAGTGGGGACTGGTCCTCACAGCTGGTATGGGAAGGGGAGTTAAGCCCCATCAGTTCCCAACCCAGCTGGGGAGGGGGATAAAGGCCGTGGGGGAGGAGGAGCAGAATTTGGCCATGGCAGGGTTGCTCGCTGAGCCAGAAGTTGGACTTCCTGCCCTCTCCCCGCCCCACAGATCACACAGGAAGCCAACCTGACAATGTCCTGAGGATGCACCCATCGCTGCAGCCTGCACCAGCTGCAAGGCAGGGGCTGAGGGAGTCCCCGTGGGGCAGAGAGACACAATGGCAGCAGCCCCAGCTGTGGGTCTGCCCCCCACCTCGCAGCTGAGTGTAGCCTCCTCAGCTTAGCACAGGTGTGAGGCAACCCACAGAAGCCCAGCCCTCACATCAAAGGCCACAGGTGTCGGTCACATGATTTTGTTCGTCAGTATTTTTGTTCTGGCTGCACAGATTCCCCGGGGAAGGGGAGGGGGCTCGGTAGGGCCCCCCCACTCCACACAGAGGCAGAAGCCCTCTGTCAGCACAGGCACAGCACCCCTTCCACCCCCCTTAATGCTCTCAGCCCAGGTGTGGAGATCGGTGTGGAGATCAGCGTGGCCGGCATGCTCCTGCGCCCTTTGGAGCAGACACTCGCTCGTCCCTTCCAGAACCGCCAGGAGTGCATGGGGTGGGGGCAGGGGGGTTGCTTTTGTTCTTTTAATATCTTCCAAATAAAGTTTTTGTCTCTGTGCAGCTGCATGGGGGATGATGTCAGACCAAGGCATGTTGAGTGCGAGATTTCGCCAGTTCACAGCCAGCAATGTCCAGTGCCTTCCTCGCTCGCTCCCCACAGCTGGGCGAGCAGGAGAGGGCCAGGAGTAAGGCAGCAGGTAGGACAGGCGTAAAGCAGGGTGGAAAATCCCCTCCTCTCATTACAGCAGTGGGTCTGGGATACTGGGGAGGGGGAAGAGGAGGCACGTGGCCAGTGCCGCCGACGGGAGGGCAGTGGGGGGAAGGCAGGCAAACCACGGAGCTTGCTAGGACCACAGAGCCTGGGCGGGGGCCTCTCCGTGAGGCTGAGGTGTGGAGCTGGAGGCTTGTCACCCTGGTGGCAGGGGGCTGCTCAGTCCTGTTCAGAGCCACACGGACTCCAGTCTTCCCTGCCTCAGGAGGACATGGCCCTCCCTGGCATCTTGGCCCTCGGCTGGGGCAAGCTGCAACATGACCTGAAACGGACACGGGAAGCTAGTGTGGAAAAGGCAGATCCAGGCGTGAGTGCGCCCCCTAGTGCAAGGCACTAGGCCTCTCTGCTTAGGCCCAGGCCCCAGGGCGCCCCCTAGTGCAAGGCACCGGGCTCTGCACTAAGGCCCAGGCCCCAGGGCGCCCCCTAGTTCAAGGCACCAGGTCTCTGCGCTAAGGCCCAAGCCCCAGGGCGCCCCCTAGTGCAAGGCACCAGGTCACTGCGCTAAGGTCCAGGCCCCAGGGCACCCCCTAGTGCAAGGCGCCGGGCTCTGCACTAAGGCCCAGGTCCCAGGGCACCCCCTAGTGCAAGGCACCGGGCTCTGCGCTAAGGCCCAGGCCGCAAGGCTTGGCTGAGCAAGCCACGCTGCGTCTCCATTCCGAGAGCCACCCAGGTCTCTTGCACGGGGCGTGCCTGGTTTCTAATGGCGGTGGGATCCCCAGTTCCCATTTGGGGCCATCTCGGGGGACAAGCCGGGCTTCGGCACCCAGCAAAGCTGCTCAAAGGCAGGAGTCATGGTTGAGGAAACCCTCTGCCCCAACGCAGCCTCTGCAGAGTGATCCCCTCGGATCAGGTGCCTGGGTGGGGTGGGGCTTTGGGACCTGCCCAGGTGTGAGCCCAGCCCGCGGTGAAGCCGGAGGGACCAAGTGGCATCTCCAGGACAGTAACCGGCATTACAAAGGTCAGCCTGACCCAGACGCCGCCGGCATCCCACGGAGCAGAAACAAGCCTGGGATTCGGACACAGGGAGCAGCTACACGTTGGAACACGATTCACGACCTTCTAGGGCCTTGGAAGGGGGACACCAGGGCCCCGGTGCCAGGGTGGGGAGACCGGACGCCGTGGGGTTACCTTTTTCTTGCGGGTCGCCCGACACAGCCTCAGGTTGAGGAGCGCGAGGGTGAGCAGGAAGCACCTGATGCTGAAGACGATCTCCACCGCGTCGAGTACCAGCGACATGGTCCAGAGGGACAGGGTGGAGCTCTGCAGAGAGGGCTGGGTCAGGAGAACTCCAGGGGCCGGAGCCAATGGGAGCTGTTCCATTGGCCTCCGTGGGCCTGCTCCCAAGACCGGCACACCAGGGTGGGCACAGGCGGCAAGTTACATGGGCCCGAAGTGCTCAAGCACCACGAATATACAGGGCCAGGCTCCAGCAATGTTTGGAGCCGGGTCTCTCCACCGCCTGAGTGTGGCCACTGCCTCTCCCCAGCACGCTGGAAAGCTGCCCTGGCTGCTGTTCTGGGCGGCAGGAGGGTGGCCATGATTGGCAGCCCCCCACTTGGGGTGACAATAAGGGGGTTTCCTGTCTAGCAGGAGAAGACAGACCTCACACCTGACCCGCTGCTGCTTGAGGGGGCTTCGTGGGCGAGTGTCTGGCAGCTATTCCATCCGCCCCCAGCCACCCCCCTGCCCCACACAGAGCAAGAGGCAGTCCCCTCCTCCCCTCCCCATATGAGGCTACGGTGAGGGGCAGCAGCAGGGGAGGAGGCACCCATGTGATGGCAGCCCCCCCCTGCCCCCCCCGGAGGCAACTTCATGCACCTGAGAGGGGCCCAGGAGCATGTGCAGAGACAGTGGAGCAGGGGGAGTGGGGAGATGGGAGCGAGGGGGCAGCGAGGAGAGGGGGGGGA